CTCCAGCTACATTTTCTATGTAGCTGTAGTTGCATACTGTAAGTCTACATTCCGGCTCTATTGTAGACCTAGCCTCAATTACAGAAGTATAAGCAAATACATAAAAACTATGCAATACTTCTAGAAGGGTGAAGACATTCCATGTTTACTTAGGAATACATTGCCTGATAATTTTTTTCCTGAATTTAGAAGAATCTTTCTTTTGGTTCTACTAATTCCACTTACAGTTTGTAGTTTTAAATTACATTACATAATGAATGCTGACATTTGAGATGCATTATCTACAGATTTTGAAAGAATGAGGTTAATTATGTTCAAGAAGAAATAAAGAATGATGATCACCTCTCATTTTATTACCCACATTAAATGTCTTAGTCTGTACTCCACTTAATCATTTCCTGTGTATTAAGAAGGACTGTATCGTCCAACTTTTTTAACGAGTAAGATGAACCATAATGAAAAAATCAAGAATCTGAAATTTAAACTTTGATCCTAATTATATAGGAAAGAGGTAATAACCACACTTGAAGGCAATTATTATACCCCTCTCTAATCCATAGGCTATGGTGTATGTATATTTGAAGGAAATGGAGTGTGAAATGTATTAGTAATTTAGGAGGTGCAAGTGGAAGAGTGGACAGTGTTATCTATTTAGTCACTTATGCCATATGCATCACAATTCAAGAGAGAGAAATAGGACTAGTTAGAGTGACAACTTGCAACTGTGAGAGGCCTATGCGACTGCTAGATAGCCTGGTGTTCCGATCCAATATTAATTTGAACAACAGTGCTTTGCACTTCTGTCTGATGGTCTCAATGTGCTTTACAGACATTGATTAGTTAAGTTTCCCCACCCTTAGGATGACAGTGACCCTTACTGTAATTTCACATCTAAGGAAATTTAGGTCCTGATCCTGGAATAGACTCTCTGAGGCTGGGCTCTGTAATGTGTGGAACTTTACTGAATTTAGTGGAATTCTGCTCAGATTGAGGAGTTTAGCAGCACAGAGTCAGTTGCAGGAGCAGGGCCTTAAATATTTAAGGCCAAACTTTTCAAACCTGGGTGCTTAAGTTTAGAAATACTTGTGTTAGGCACTAAAGTTTGGCCAGAGAAATTAGGTGATATGACCAAAGTTGGATGGGATGTTTGTGACAGCAATAATAATATCTAAAGTCTTATGATTTCCAGTTTATTAGATGACTTTGGAATAGGAATTTTACTAAGTCATGCACAATACAAACACAGCATAAAAGATGGTCTGCATTAACAAAGGTTTACAATCTAATTTGGAGTCCAGTGCAACATACTTTTTTTTGAGCCAGTAATGACAGTCACCAGTACCAAGAAGAGCTGGACCAGGTACTAGTCATATGTTTGACTTGCTGGGTTCTAATCCCCTACAGAAATAATGGAGCAGCTCTGTAGAGACTGCTACAGCACAATAGCTGAAGTAGACTTCATGGCGTGGCAAACATGCCACATGCCCCCTGCCCAAGTAATAAGGCTGTGAAGCATTAGTATCCTATGTGCATAGGTCTATACTACATGAGTAGGTCAAATTAAGATATGCAACTCCAGCTACCTCCACAGCAGGAGGTCGATGGAAGCAAATGCTGCTGTCAACTTCTCTTGCTCCTTGTGAGAAGCAAGATTACTGGTGCCAACAAGTGAGCTCTCTGAGTTTGATTTAGCAGGTCTTTATTAGACCCGCTAAATCAAACTCTGGAAGATCAACCAGGGCAACATCTATCTTCCATGTTGTGAAGACATGACCTTAATCATGCATCTAAACTTTTTGAAATCCTGTCCCTAGAGACACAATAAAGAGGACAACTCTTGCATTCCCTCTCACATGCTCCTTTCCCCATTCTCTTTCTTTCTCTCACTTTTCTTAAATTCACCTTTATTCTGCAATGCTATTGGTATAAATACTCTAAACCAATTCATATCTACAGCAAAAATATAATTCTAATGACATCTTAGTCGTTCACTGGATCAGGACCAGAAAGGCCATTTGCTTTGCAAAGAAACAAAGACAGATAACACTAAACATCATTACTGGGGATTAGAGAGAACATTCCTTTTTCCCTTTTGAATTCCTAGATAGCTTGGTGGTTAGATTTCCTCTTTGAGACCACAGACAAAGGAATAAATGTGTCTGTTCAGTAGTATTAATGGTTCTTCTGATGACCTACCACTAAAATAACCATTGTATGGACACTTCTAATATGTGTGCAGAAGGCACAAAGTGACCCTAAGTCAGTCACAGAAGTACCACTTTCAGAAGGTAGAATGTCTGGGAAATGACATCATACAATCAGCCAGTCAGTGTTACCTGAAACAGCCTGATGTCCTTCCTGGAAGTACAGTACTGCTTTTTGGAGGTGGTACTTCTGGCAATGAAAAGAAGCAAGATGTCAATTTTGAAGTTGTTTGGATGGACAAAATACCTAGCTTGCTTACAGGCTTCCAAACACTCTTGGCCTCAGGGACTGGAACTATCCAAAGTCTATATAAAAACCCGGCCTCAGTGCTGCAATTATCTCACGAACAGAATCTACATTGTCTTCTGCATTCAAAGATCTCATTTTGGGCCTTCTCTAATTCTAAAAAAGAGGTGAATTTGGTAAAGTGTGAAGTTTTAACAAGCTGGACTGAGAAATATCACCTCTTTCTCGTCAAGTTGTCGGAGAGATGAGTCACATTAAATGCAATACAGAAGGTCTTCCCTGTCAGATCTTCAATATTGATTTTTCATTGCCATGTAAAGGGACTTCTAAAAATAACTTGTGTTACCACTAACTCTCAGCACTGCCAAAGAAGGGGTTTCAATGAAGAGAAGTGGAAATTCAATATCCCAGAGACGGAAAGACAAAAAATGTGTATTTGTTGCTAAGGTCCTTTTCCTCCCATTTGCAAACACCACAAAATAATCACTTCATAGACGTAACTGTCCCATCACATTTAAGGTATCATTGGAGACCTACAGATCTCTAACCCTGACACCATGCCTATCTAGCATGCAAACCCTGCCTCAATACCACTCTTACATGCTGAACTTCTTCAAAAGAAAACATTTGAAAACTCTCTCTGTCCAGACATATGTATTTAAATATGTGAATAATGCTTAGTTATAATAGCACTTTCCCTTTTGCTGTCCTCAAATTTGTATTAACTTGTTGCACATGAATTAAATATATGTTTAAGAATATTTATTTTCTCAGCTTTTTAAGTCACTTTTTAAGCAAGTTACCTGAAAGTCCCTGAGTTCCCCTATTTACCAAAAAATCAAATTTTCCCAAGAGCATACAATATAATACTAATACCAATTGCATACAATATCAATTGTGCTTGTGTTAAATGTGTTTACCCCTTGACCTCCAAGAACAACTATAATATAAATAAGCTCAGTCATATGCAATAACAATTATTGTATATATAAAATTCCTATCTTCTGCTCTCTGAAGAAGCCACATTTTACATCAGGCATTAAAAGAAGAGATCCATCCACTAGTCCACCTGAAAGACAGCTCAGGAGTCCAGTTTTCAAATGTAGGCACTTAAATGACATGTCCAAATGACATATTGGGCACTGAAATCAGCACTTACTGCCAGTTTACCTACTAATGCATAAGAATGGGACTGAAAGCTCAAATGCAGGAATTCCGAACAATTTATTTAGAGGCTCATGCTTGCAAATTAAGCCTTGTATATATAACTATAAGTATCTTTGGAGATTTTCATTAAACAGAAGACAGTAGTTTAATGTATATTATTCTACTGCTCAGCAGGGATTATATTTCCAATACATTGCACAGGGATTTAACTCCATACATTTTAATCGGAGTCACATTGTTAATTCCTTATATAAAATATTGATGGAAAATCTATCCCAAGACTGTAAGTGATACAAGGTTTTAAATCAGGTTTTAGACACATGGTTTTCTTGTTTGGTAACCACTTTGAAACATAGTCTGTGGGGCTCCCACGGGGAATATATAGAGGGAATACTGAAGAAAATGAATCTGAGTATTCTAATAGGACCCTTTTTTACCAATGATAAATCAGTTAGTAACTACTGATATTTGAAGAAAGACAAATATGGCTAATTAGAAATCCAGGGACAAATTACCGCTGCTCCAGTTTGGGTATATGGAGAGAGGAGATTATATGTACCAGGAACCCCTATTTTATGACTTCCGCACATGCAGCAGGCACAAGACTGTAGCTCTCTCTCCTTGGGCAAAAATGGAGGGTATCTAATGAAAATAGAGGTATTGATCACCACTGACATATCATGATGGATTGGGGGTGTGATGGACCTGCTTCCCTCCAGATACATGCACAACGTGTGCATGAGTGACCAGAAGGAGGCTGTGTCTGAAAGAAACACAGCTACTTTATCTCTTCCACAGGAAAAGCACAGGCTGCCAGGGAGTCCATCTGTCTACTTCTAGTCTTTCCACTGACTCATTGGACGGTGGGTCAAATCCCATAAAGGCGCCAACATTGGTTATTCAGTATTTTATCTTCTCTCTGCTATTCCCAAAACAGATGGTCTGTAGAAGTCTTAACCTGACTCCTAGGCAGTACAAATTTCTATGTTTAGCAGAAAAAAAAAGTGTACAAAACTCCCCAAAAGCTTTAGAGTCTCTGCTGGTGGAAACAGGCACAGCTCCACTGAAGCTAGTGAAGCTACTTTAGATTACACCACATAAAGATATGGGCTCTCAGGTATAGCTATGGATATCTTGAACCATGCTTATATTGACAATTTATAAAGCACTGTTTTTTTATCAGACAAGACAGAAAACAGCATCTTCCTGATAACAAAGCTTTTGGGATTATCAACTCAAAAGTTATGTCATAAGGAAAGTGATATTTTCCCTCCACTTACCCCCAATGTATATTTTACAACTGAAAACAGAGAAACACATCTTCTCTTTATATGCCCATTTACCTACTTTTATTATTTTATTGACCCTAAATAGATACTTACATTATTAACAGAACAGCATACTGGTTTCGATCTGTGAAATCCTTTGGAAATGACAACTGCAGAGGAAGTTCTTTAAGAAAAAAGCAAACCATTAAAGGCTGGTATTTACACAGATTGAAAATAGTAGATATGAAGAAAGTGGTTATTTTCTGTGTTAAAGGAACATTTTACTAAAATTACCATAGTCCTCAATGTGAAGCATTTTAATTTCTGTTTGGAAAATCTTTTTCTTTAAAATAGCTTCTTTCAACACAGCATTGTTTTCCAATATGTAAAATTCTGTAGGAAAAAAAACCAGGATGAATCAGGGTGGAAGATACAATGAATCACCATAAAAGAAAGAAATCAATGTAC